GGGCCACCATTGAAGTAAAGAATCAGCGGCGCGTTGCCACGGTCTTGATGGCGAGCCTCAAACAGCCAGAAGAAGTAGTGGCGGTCGCTCGCGGCATCGATGTATCCGCTGACCTGCTTGACCGACGGGTCGCAGATGGTTGGCGACTTGAAGGCAGAGATGGCTGCGTCAGTCGACGATACGGCGACCTCGGCGATGGCGAACGACGCAAGGCAGGCAGTGAGGATGGCGGAGAGCTTCATCGGGCTGGTGAAGACGGCTGGTGAAGGCGGCTGGTGAAGACGGCTGGAGGATGTATCTATTGGACAATTGTATGTTCAATGAGTGTTGTTCCAATGTTGCTGTAGTAAGCTGTTGATTGCATTTTATACCTCCCCAGCCAAGGAATGCTGACATAGTTGCCAAGATCTCACTTTCAGACTTCCTGTGGTTTGCCTACAATCTGCCAAGCTCGTGGCCGACAGATCTGCTAAATTAGAACGCCAATAGCCATCATGCTTAATCAGCATACACCCCCAAAACTGATGTCATCGACTGCTGTTGAAACTTGCTCAGGATCCGGGATGGGCATGTTTTTCACTCGGCGATTTCCTATTCCGCCAAGATTTTTTAGTCACTTGAGCTTGGCGTGTATTACTAGCAGACACTGCGCCATCAAACGTGAGTTCCGCAAAGATGACACAGCCTTTCAACAACCTTATTTATTAATAACTCACATCCATTATTGCCACCGTTTGTTTATTTTTTTATTTCACCTCAGCAATGTCTTCCTCAAAGTGACTTGTTCCTCCGGTATTGAAGCTTGCCGGCTCCCGTCGTGTTCAATCAAGTCTCTCATATTTTTTTGTTGCTCGAAATTTATTTTTGGCGGCTGCTGGTTCCGAACTTGTCCTGCCAGATTACTCTGCTTGAACATAAAATCATCACGCACATTAAACACGATTCTATTGTAGACACGATGGTTGCTTCCCGCCTCTTTGCTCAGTCTGCTATGCGCACTGCCATGCGCGTGCGCTCTCACCCAACTCGCAGCGGTCCATACCACTTCGAGAACGTTGACGGATCCCACTTGCCATTCAACACCAAGAACAAGGCCACCTTTGCCATCAAGTTCGTTGGCTTCCTCAGCTTCGCCTCAGCTATCCCACTTGGCACTGTCTGGTGGCAGCTCCAGAAGGGTGCTGGTTCCGACTACTAAACAACGAGTAACGTTCTGTAAGCGCACACACCTTCATTTTTACTGTTTGAAATGAAACATAGTATAGTGTCCATTCCCAAGCGGCTAATATTAAACGTAAAAATGAGAGATTATTCGAAAAAAGCATCTAATAAACAATATCATCTACGATAGGAGTTATGCTTGTAAGGTGTTTTAGTGCTTGACATTATATATTAGTAGATTGCTGCTCCTCCGTCTCAATTTGAATCTGAGAATTGAGTTGGAGGAATTACTCAATCTCGGTCGACAGCTGAAACAGACTGTATAGCGGAACTAGCTCGCATCTTTAATGACTTGAAGATACTGCACCTGTCATTCAATCCCACCAATGTCATCTCGACGGAGGATCGCATCAATGAAGCTAGTGAGTTTTTTTCTTCTTCTTCAGCCCTCCCACTCTCATTCCCAGACGATCTTTTCTAACTCAGCTCTCCTTCTCTTTCTCTCTCTCCTCCCTCACTCTCTCTCATTGTATTCGATCTGTTCCCGAGATACTTTTTTTTATCAAAACTGTCGCACAACACAAGATGAACAACCGAGGAGTTACAGCCGGTGTAGATGCGCAAACCAACTCGCTCCTGCAGGAGCAGCAACAGCAGCAGCAACCACAGCAGCAATCACAGCCAAGTCTCGAGCCAGCAAGTGAGGCTACAGCGGTTACATACGAGTCTGAACAAAGTTCGTCATCAGCGCTTTTCCTCCTCCAACAACAACAACAGCAACAACAAAGCGACCAGTCGGTCCTCTCCGCTGCCAGTGTCTTGACTGGTCGAACTGACAGGATCAACAGCATCAACAGCAACGATATCATTAGTCGCAGCCGAGCACAGTCATACACACAGCACTCTTCGATACATCAGGAGCCAGCCAATACTGCACAAACAAGCGTGGAATCAAAGCCTACGGGCTCTGTGCTGCAAACTCCTGGAAGTCAACAACAGCCATCTCACGGCGTCACTGGAGCAGGATGGAAATCATCACATGGAGGAGTTGCACCGCAGCAATCTTTAACTCGCACAAATCAACATCATCAGCAGCAGCATCAGCAGCATCAACATAAAAATCAACATCAAGGACATCAGCACAATCAGTATCTACCGGAGGATCAGCAGCAATCGTTCCAATCCACGATCAACAACAGCTCCAATCCAAATAATAGCGGTGGGGTAGTGGAGAATCACAGTGGCTGGCCATCATCCTCGTCCCCTCTGTCGTCAACCACAGCATCAAACATAAGAATACAGCGCCAACAATCGGGCCATTCATCTCACATGCATCAGTCGCAGCACGATTCCACCTCGCCTCCAACTGCATCTGCATCGACATCTACATCGACATCTACATCGACACATTCTGGAAAGCCAATGATGCCAAGCCCACGTCCTTCGTCTACAATGCTTCACCCACAACATCACATCACTCAAACACCATCGTCTGTCCCTATGATGGCGACAGCTGTAGGAGGACCGCAGGCTATTCCTCCACCAACACCTCAACCGCAGATTCACCTTCCAGCACCTCAGCTACAACATCAGAATCAGTATCGATCAATTCCTTCACACCAATCTCAGTCGCAGTCGCAGTCGCAGCCCCAGCTACCTTCGCCACCAACTACCACCTATCATCCATCCACCCAGCCTCAGCATCAACCGTCTGCTCAACCTCAGCAGCCTCAGTCATACCTAAACCCTGACTCAAATGAAGAAGTGTTTGCTACAATATACGAACGAGCAGACAGCATCATTCAAGGTATTCGACAGCTCAACGGCAGCAATTCCGATTTCAGCCCTC